ACTACAACCACTGAGGTACCAGTGTTCTAGCACATCTCAAAGATCCACATATTTCATGCAAGAGAGCTGATCTGCCTGTTTTGGGGGAAACTTGAGATTTCCTCCTTTCCAGGGAAGTAAGCAGAATTTTTAAATACCTACAAGACAAGATTTCTAGATGGAAGAGAAGGGATTTGTTCAGGGAAGGGCATAAGTAACCCTCAACAAGCTAGTATTACTTTTTTTTTTAATTCATATTGGTGGTCTAACTCTTAGCAGCTCTGCTGAAAACAGCTCTGATGAGCTTAAGTGTATCACTCAACTTCTGCAACCCCAAGAAAGAAACACTTACAGAAAACCTGGCATTGTGCACTGCCTTAACCATATACTAAGCCAAGATTTTTGTCTTATCTTCAGTGGGAGTGAGTTTCACAACTGATTACCGAGAAAGGCCTTGCTCCCACTGCAATGAGGCAGTGAATCAAAATTTCTCGGAAACTCTTCAGAGAAACGTGACCTTTAAGAATCAGCCTTCAGCGTATCTGAGGCTTTGAAAAGCAATGATTGGACAAGAGTCCAAATGGCATTAAATGCCATGAGAAACCATAGTTTGCCAATATCTTGCACACAGGTCCCACGCAGTCAATGGAAAGGCATATGCTGAACAATTCTTTAAGAACAGTGCAAAACTTGTGCCACTGCAGCTTCAGCCTCGAAAAAAGGGGAAAGGGGAGAGTTCCCAAGCTAGACAAATATAGCAGAAGGCCTTGCCAACAGTACAGGTAGCTGTGACTTAGCTAGCTCCCCAGGACTGTGTTATTTTGACACCCAGCAGACAGATCCCCTCAGCAATTCAGTCTTTCAATCTGTTTCTTTGCTGCCGACAACCTCTAGTACTGTTGAACACTGTGGGAAATAACTTTGGTGAAAGAAGTGCCATTGACAGAGTCCCCTTACATAAGGTAGCAACTTGTAGGAGGTGGTGCTGGTGACTGCAGGTAAAATTAATGGGCTGTCAGATCCATTCTCAGAAAAAATGTGCAAAGATCATAAAAATCTCCGTTGCTAGCTGCTGTCTTGTTTGCTGCCTCAGAAGTGCCAAGGACAGAATGGACATGGAGACCAAATTACCATCTCCTTGCTCTCCAGGCAGTTTCTGCCAAGTCAGGATTGAAGGCATACAGTGGGCAGGGCAGGGTGCTGAGGGGAATTTGCACTGCTGCTGTTTTGACTGGTTTTGGTTGGTACAGGAGAGAAGCCAAGTGCAGGACAGCAGTCTCCAGCCCACCCCTTCATCCCCTTCCACAAAAGTATAATTCATTTACTGGAAAGAAAACATTCAGTGATTTGACTGGTTCAGCTTGCCTATCACCGAGGAGAAGAAATTGCCCCATATATTCATTATTGGCAGGAAAGGTTTCCCAAGCCATTCTCCTGATCCACCCCTCTGGCAGATAGCTGCTCTGAACAAAGTACTGCCTGCCCTGAATTTCTGGTTTGTCCTTTTCCTTCTATCTTCCACCCAGAGTCTCACAACTTCTGAAAGCTTTAAGATGCAAGTGCACCATTCTACTAATGTGCAAAGCCCTGAAAACGCCTCTTCCCCAAACTATTAATAACGATGCATATGGGAGGAGTTCATGGAGAGAACCAAGTAACAGGTGGTAAAGATAATATTACACTGGAAAAGAGCAGAGCTGCCACTGCCCATGTGTTGGGAGGCTAATGTCTCACATTCATTGTCGTGTGCTAGAATGCATTTGGAGCACAGAGAAATGTCACACAGATGTCATACACAACCTGCCAATCCGAGTCCGAGAGTTAGTTCATTACACCAAACTCCCAATGCCAAAATCAAAGAAGAATTGCAAACACTGCTTATGTTTCAAACTACTCAACTTTTAACCCCTAGCTATTGTATAAATAGTTTAAAGCACCATTGAACAAACATGAACATCTTTCTCAGTCACACCAGATCCTAAGTGCCCTCAGTGATGTCAAGAAACCCCAACCCTTTGAGTTAGGTTTCTGGTGCACAACAGACCATCTGGTATATTCAATGCTTAGTGCAGTAATGGCAGGCTCCTGCCTCAGGTTCTTCAAGCCTGAAAACAAAACCAACTCATTCAATGCCTTGATTTTTTCTTGTCACCTGCAACCACCACTTTGATTCAGAACCTTTGAAAAATCAGTCCTATTTTCATGTCTCAAAACACCCCTTCAAGTATTTAACCTTAAGCTTGGTGAGTAGAGTTATCAGTAATTTGCTTTTGGATAATACTTTTATCTCAACATGATGCTATAAATTCAACAATGTAGTAATTGCTTTATCCAACATATCTTTGGACATCAACAGTATATTTGTATAGCTGTCCAGAGCAATCAGACAGCAAAATGAAAAAGCACCCTAGCATATACTGTTACAGAGCTATACAGAGGGGTATAAAAGTCTCAGCTGAAATCTAGTTCTCTTCTCTTAAACTGTTTTTTTTTTAAATCACAGCGTCTTATCTGTGAAAAGTGTTTATTGGGGAGGGAGGGTGCGCTACACACATCTATTGCAATACAGCAAACTCAGGAAGTCCAATGACACACGTAGCATGGTGCATTACAGGTGTGGCGCTCATACATTGTTTAAGTATAAGACTGCATTATCACAGTATTTCAGGAATGTTGAATTCAAAGTTTTGCAACAAAAAGGTTTGGAGTTTCCAAAAAGTCCAAATTTTCTGGAGCAAAGGTTTTTTTTGAACTACTTTAGTTATATTTCCTTAGAGATCCCAGTTGAAATCTTACAACAGGATTAATGTAAGTACTCCTGCGAAACTCAGCACAAATCATAAAAGTGCGCCAATCCTTTCTCATCCAGAATATGGCATCAGGAATGGTGTTTTCATCCCCTACTACTGTCTACACTGAAAAACAAATGCAAGACTGAATAATTTGCTTCTTAAAAGCCTTCCAACTTCCATTCAGTCAATGACTTCAGTTGTAAACTTAGCTTATTTGTAAGTGACAGCCTGTAGTGTTTCCACCAATAAAACCGGTTGTTAATTCCAGATAGGATTCAACAATGCAAGGATACCAAAAAAAAAAATCAGAATGTCAAAATATTAAACAAAGCCGAGAAATATCACTGTCATTGTAAGTGTACAGATTCAGAGCCCCAGAGCATCATGTACGCATTGGAGTAAAGGTGTTTCAAATCCTGTGTCACATAACTTTAAGAAAGCCAAATTTCAGTGAGTTGATACCTTCTGTGCACCAGTCACTTCACATGGGCCCACAGATGCCACTTAATGACATCCCATCACATAAATCCTTCAAAAGCCTAACTTAGGTTGGTCTAACATGATGCATAGGCCACATTTATCCTTCTGATATTAAGAAACAAACACACACAACCCCCAAACCCAACCCCACAACCACAAAAGCACACTAACAGTTTTGATAAATAAAATCACAGTTGCACTAGATGACAATTTCATTATGATTTCTCTCTCAAGTCAAGGAATTCAAAGTGTTTTATTCTCTCTACATAATTTCTCCCTCTAAACTCTTCCTTTTTGCTTCCTGAAACTTCCAAAGCACTTCAGAGCGACACCACACAGGAGCCAGTGCTCTTCATCTCAACATGAAGACTTTCCTGGAATCCCAACCCCACAGCAGGAAGCAGCTGTTGCAGTTCTTACTTTTCCAAGGACCATTTCTTAGAAGCTATCCCCTCTTACTCTTTTTCCTTTTGTCAAATTAGACTTCTGTTTTCTTTTCCAGACAGTTCTTAGCAGGGCAATCACTACCCAGATTTTGTCAAATGATACCCTTCTCAGCAAGGTGCTGCTGTCTCTTCCAAGTATTTCTCTTCCACCTGGAACCGGGCTGGTCTTTTACTTTTTGTTTCAACCTTCCCAAGCAGGCTTTGTCGTACTCCGACAGAGGCTAATCCCACAAGAGGCCCAGCTCAGTCTGCAGATAGTAAAATTACGTGTCTCTCAGAATTGCCAATAACTAATGCTCTAAGGACCAGTGAGGCACTTGGAACAGCTGACTCCCAGACAGCATTCTCCAACTCTATTCTGGAGAGGCTAGGCTTGGGACATCTAGGAAGCTGCATCTTGAGGCACTTACATTAACTCTTCCTTCTCCTGAAAGCACCAGTTAAGAGGCTTTCTAGTGCCAGTTTGAAGAGTATGAAATATGAAAGCTCATTTCTCATCATCTCACTCCTGACCTGGCATTGAATTTTAAGTGGTAAACTCAAGGTGAAAGGCTCCAAATCCCATTACACATTCCCTCAGCCATCTATCATGCAACTGCCCCCAGCTCTTATTATTTTTCATCTTCTAATACCTATGATAATACCAATCACTAAAACTATTTTGTTGGTATCTTCAAGCACAGTGGCACAGTCTTCGCAAATTTCAGCTAACATACAAAAATCCAAATTGAGTGAGTAGGCTTTTGTCAGGCTGATTTCTGCCAACTTACCAGAAGTCATTTCGGTAATATATTATCAGCTAATCCAATTTCATTATACGTCTCTCTTATATTTTGTCTGTGCTTGTGCATGCAGTAAATATGCATCTGTAAATTATTAGTACTTCGATAACACAAAATGCAGCTAACGAGATACAAGAGATGGAAAAGTGTTGCCTCTGACTGAGAAGTTACTCAACACTGAGAGAAGTGAACACATAAAAATACGCAGAGAATAATTCCTCTGAATTCTTCTCTTATACAAAAATAAAAATTTTAAAGGACCCAAATCACCAATAGCAAATAAAATCTCCAGACATTAGTCAAGAACATCTCTACAGATGACATTGTGAAAGATACATCTTGCTCCAGGCCAGAATGAGGGCCTTGTGCAGTGAAGGAAAGATCTTCAGTGGCAGTCGTAATTGCATTAGGTTGCACACACAGGGAAAATTTGTTGGGAGGCAGCAGAATTCTGAAAGCTAGCAAGGCCACTGCTTTTACAGTGAGAACTTCATGGACCCTACAAAAGGTCCTTCCCTTACCCAGAATTTGACAAGGAAGAAGGCATTAGCTGGCCCCCTTTCAAAGAGCTCCTTCAGGCCCCCTTTTTTCTCAGGGAACTTGTCATAGATCTGCCGGATATCCACTGCCTCGAGGTAGGGGTCGTTGTAGCTGGGGCTTGACTGCCCAATATGCACAAACAGGTGTTTGTTATACTGCAAGAAGAGGAAAAACATGGAATTAGGAAATCATTCAGTACATACTGAACATTCATCATTCTTCACAGAAGACTACTAGAAGTCACTGAAGATTTAATAGCACTTTCTAAAAGAAAAGAAGCATAAGCAGAAATATCTCTGTTAATACCAGCTCATGCTGTTATTTATTTTCTACCAATACATCCACGCTTCTTGCTTCTTCTGAAATATTATTGGGTTTTTTCCTATATTCACTCCTAAACCATTGCTTCATGCTGCTGCTATATACTGTGAAATAACCTGAGATACAGCATTACCTGTCACAGGTCACTCAGTTGAACATCAATGCTCCTGTCCTACGAAATCTGCTGATTTGAAATCATATGAAATCTGATTCATATGCCTGAAATCCCACAGCAAGGTACCAGCCAAATAGTATCGTCTTTTCTGAACTTTCCTGTCTCAGACAGAGGAAATGTAACTGGCCCATCACTAATGTATGTCTCAAGATGCAGTATCACAAGGTTTAGTGAGACAGGCAAATCTCACTATTTTGATTTTATAGGTGGCACCATGGAAACACATTGATGCAAATTAATCCTATTTGCCCCCAAACTTAAGTTCCCAGCACACCAGAGAAATACATGGCTTCACCTGATGTTACCATCATCTAATTTTGGGTCTGTCCTCCAAGGCTGAATGAGACATCTAGAATAGCCTGACAGGGGCTATACTACTGTCTTATGACCTCAGTGCCTTGAGCTCTGCTACGTGAACATCCGTGACCCTGGAAAGGGAGGCCAGAAGCACATGGCACTGCGCTGGTCATATCACTATAAGCAATTCTATCCTCTAAGAGAAGGATATGTTGTGTTTCCCAAAGATGGCTTTCTATTCTCAGTACAGCAATGAAGCAAGGATTTCCATACACATATGGTAGTATAACACATCCATAATGAAGAGGAGCTACCTGAAGAACAAAAAAAATTAATGAGACGTGGAAGTCAGATGTATATCTTACTGTGTCTTGGTCTTGTTGTTGTTCCAAGAATGCAGAGAATTCTAACATCCAAAGTTTGGAGCTAGCAACCCTTCGTCCTTGCCAAGCTGGTGCTGATGGGGAAGGCGAGAGGCCAGTAGGAGACTCAAACCCTAAGCAAACAGGATTTATATAACAAAATTTAGAAAAAGAAAAGTTGGTAATAGCTTTCCAGTAGAGCACCTGTTGTCCAAGCTGACTAATTACATCTTCTTATGACTTCAGTCATCATGAAAAAATATCATTCACAAAGTCCTCACTCTACCTGTGCTCTAAATGGCTTGTCATTCACCCTCTGCTAAGACAGCACTATCAGGCTTGGCAATGATGTAAAAAACAATCTACCTGCCAGGGAAAACATGTTCAGCAACTTTGAGAGGACCTAGATTGAGCCCTAAATGAGCAGTGAAATAAACTGCTTTAGTATCAGAATGAAGTATCACCATTAACATGATCATTAACCTCTCAAAATGGAGAAACTGAGAAAGCAAAGACATTTGTTGTTCCTTTTAATGAGAAATTGGAAAGGCAATCATGTTATGATGGCAAACAGTGTTCTAGTACATGCAGCACGGTGGAAGAACAGTAGAGATATGTAAACTTCTATTTTTTGCTGAACCAGGGGAAAAGAAACTCCAAAACCACCAACCTAAAACAGGAAAAAAAATGTTTTTTTAAAAGAATAACAAAATTAAAAAGCTTCAGCTCTTTCAGCAAAAGGACGGGAACTGGTGATAAGGGGTAATCATATAAAAATTTCTTTTTGGCTCACTGAAATATTTCAATAGATAAAAGTATTTCTTTAACTAATTTTTAAACTTTTTAAAGTGCTATCTATTTTTGAAGTTGGAATATAATAAAGCAACTACATTTCCTTACCTACCTGGTAATGGCAGTGGAGGCTGTACAGCATAAGGTTGTTGAGAAAAAGGTTTCACACTACAGAAGTACACAAAGAGAGATGGTTAACAGAAAAACAAAACAAACAAAAAGAAACAACCAACTGTTTGCACAGATTAGATCAAGTATTTCTCCTGAGGGAGAAAGAAAAACACAAAAAACAGTAAAAAAAAAAAAAGGAGACTGGACTGAGTAAGACTTCCCTGCAGGTGTTACGCAGGCTCTCCTGGCAGACTTGTTATTCAGAGATCCTTATCAGCTTGTTAAAACACTGCTGGCCATTCGTTTATCCTTTTCTTTCAACGACAGATAGATTTAAATTTATGCAAGTGGATATCCATCTGAGCTGGGTGCCTCTCAGACTTTTAGGCCCAGATTCAGAGATGTTCAACACCCGCAACTGAACCTAGCTTTCAAGACAGCTCAGCTCCATTTTAACACCACTGTAAGAAAAATGAGGATCTGGAGACATCGTCTGACATCAGGGGTGGCGGATACTTCAAACTTCTAAAAGAACCTCTAACATTGATGTTTCCTTGTTCACTTTCAAGCTAAAGGCATAAAATCTACTTTTTATTTTTCCCCCACAAGATTTTTTTAACAGTATCTGTTCCGTGATCTGCTCCACAAACATCAGCAGTAACACCACAAGACAGCAGGAACATATGCCTCGGGTGAAGAACATACCTCCAGCTGCTTGTCCTTTAAGTGGGCTTAAATTGCTCCTGTTAGATAAAAAGTGTACCTGTCTCCACACAAACAAAGGAGCACAGAGGAACAACTGCAGGTGGAGCAACCTGCATAATACTCAGACACAACTACACTCAGTGTCATCACTGGATCAATCCATCAAAGGCTCATCTCCACACAGGGACAGGGGAGCCCAAATAACCCAGCCAGGGAAACAGAGCCCCTGCCAGTGCTGTCACAGGAGAGCCATCAGCCCTATTGTCCAAGTGTGAAACAAACCCCATGAGTCAGCTGGGGAGGCTTACAAACAGGTCACCTTACAAACTGAGGGAGTTAATGCCTAGATGGTACAAGACACATTATGGAATGTGAGGGAAAAGCATTTGGGGATTGTATAAGATCTATTATGGGGATGTTTAGGGAGACTATGGGGATAAAAGATGCCAGTCGCATGCAAGAAGGTCCATACAGTCATCTGTCCATGTCCTGCACCTTGTCAGTGCAGTCTGTCCTACCTTCTCACTAAATTCTATTTCTAATTGTTTTCCTGCATGAGGACCTTCCAGTTCTGTGTATGTTCATTAGTGATTATCAAGCCAGATTAGCCTGCAAGCAGACGGCTTGGGAGCCAGCTGTGTGTGTCTCCAGGAGTAACAACATTCTCAGAGGGACCAAGAGGCTCAGGCCAAATGACAGAGAGACTGCAGAGTCTGGAGGTTGACTGAAAGATGAGTTTGTGTGTTTATCTTTGTAGAAGGCAAACCAGGGAAAGCAAAGATCCAGCTACTGGGTGGACAGTGTGTATAAACCCAGTTACTGGTGAGATTCACAGTGTGTATGTGTTTATGCACATGCATGTGTATTTGTGTGTGTGACAGAGGCCTGCACCAGCAGCTAGAGTGGGGCTGTGGCTTCAGGGGCTCACCTGTCTTGGTACCAGCACCCAGGGGAGGCAGGATGGATCCACAGTACATCTTTATTTCTCACTAACACACCTTCACCCTCACCAGCCAGAGAGGGTTACAGGACGAGGCTGTTGGTGCTGTTTGTATTTGTGTGAGTGCTGAGCGTTGTCTGTTTGTGCTGTTCTGTGTGGCCAGCCATATATATATATATGCATTTATGTGTAACGTATATGCACATTTGTGTGTGCGCCTACTGGGAATACACACTCAGCCTTGCTACCTGTTGAACTTTGGAACATGGAGCTGCAGCAGCCTCACCTCTATCAGGCTGCTAGATTCAACAGCTCCCTAAAATAACCCATATTAGGCTGCTTGAGTCTTGGGCACGTTACAGGGATGTAACACATGTTGAAGTTAAATGAAGACATAGGCTTTTATCTACTTAAGATTCTCTCATGACTCTCAATTTGTCTTCAACCATGGGCCTTAAGTCTCAGATCCATAGTCAGAAAATCTGTCTGAGAGCAAAGACCACATTATCTTAGCTTTTCATACATCATGTAACAATCAGTGGTGCTCCTCAGGCAGCACAAAGGAAGCAGCAGAAGCACCTGCTTTGGATGCTGAGATTAAATAATACTCACTCTTGGGAAGATCCAGCTTGGCCTGGCAAAGCTCCTTGCCAAAACTGCAAGAGAACAACATACACACAAAAGTTATCACTCTTAGGACAGAAACGAAGAACAAGGCTTGCTCCTTTCTGAGGAAAGAAACTGCAAGCTTACTGTCTTTTAAAGATGTGATTGAGCTATACCTCCTCTTTCTACCTTCCTGGTTTCATCCTTGCAGAGGTGCTGTCTGGTCTTTATTTTCTTTCTACACACTACTACTAGTGACGTGCAAGCAACTGACCCAATAGTGGTTTTTGATGTCAAATATTATGTATGCACCCTATGCCTCTATCTCCAGAGTTGAAATGATGCTCCCTCTCTTGGAGGGACCATTTGCCCCCAGGAGAGCTTCACAGGAGTGTTTTGGCAGAAATCAATGCTCAGCAAAAGCTCACTAGGCCCAACTCAAAGGTTAAGAGCTGCTGACAGGCCTCTTCTATTAAGGGTTTTATATAAGGGCCATCAATTTGTGATCTAAGTACTCAGGATGAGCTTGGGAATTGTAAGCTTGAGAAGGGGTCAGGATGGCCCAAATAATTTTAATCCAGTGAGATCCTGGACTAAGAAAGTGATACAGACACATAAAAATATTTCAGGCAATATTTCATGAAAACCCAAAGGATCTGATTGTTCTCTCATTTGTGTAATTTAAGAAAAAAAACATACAGTGAAAGTCTATTGTTTTACATCAGTGTGAGCAAAGAATCAGACTCAAACTGTTGAAGCCATATGACAGATTTCTTCTACAAAGACAATGCCTTTTTGCCTATTCTTTCTGATCTTCTCAGGATTTTCCTGAGCAGATCCCAACACCATTTCAAATACTCAAGTGTCTTCAGCCCAACTCCGCCAAGACACTGATTCACTTACCCCAGAAACAGCAGGGTAGGCTGGTCGTGGGAGACCAGGCAAGGCCATTTTACTATGGAAGGCAGTTGCAGAGATAATCTGGGCAGATGACATTGTAGCCATACTCTGCATGGCTTTATCTTTAGCTGCCTGATCCTATGGGCAAGAGTAGAAACAGAAAAAACAGAATTATTATAATGATAAACAAGTTGCCTGATGTAATGCTGCATAACCAGCATTCTCATCAGCTTCTTTGTAGGGAACAAGCATCTCTGAAGACCTGAGCAGCAGACTCACCAGTAACTGTCCTAAGAACTCTACAAAGCATGTCAGTCTCTCACCAATTAAAATAGCTTCAGATGTGATTAATCATCCTTTCTGAAATGCTGGGATCACTGGTTTAGGGACTGCTAAGTACTTATCCTTTCTGTCTGAAGGCTTTCAGCCACAGAGCCGAATGTTTTTTTACGGAACATATGACCGTGACTGACTCTTGTGTTTTAATCATTGGTAAGAATATTCAATGGCAAAGACTCTTGCTTATTAAAAAAAAAAAAAAAAAAAGTCTAAAAAAAAGCTCATCAAAGGAGTTTGTAATCATCACTGCAAAAACACTACCTCAATTTGGGACTGCATTGTTCTGGGGTAGAGCTCATAATTTTATTCCCATCCCTGGGAAAACAGAAAATCTTAATAACCTCCCAGGGCACATATGTGAGGACATTCCTTTTTGTATTTTAACAGGACTGTGGAATTGCACACATTTTTACAGGCCATGACAGTGGAACCACTAGGGGGTCTGATGTATGTTCAAAACAAATAGCATTTTTCACTTCTTCCAGGGAAGAAATAGACAAACAGGAACACTTCCCACATTCTGTCTTTCCTCCTATGTCCCCTACAATTAATTGTCATCCTTCAAATGCTCCACATTTATCTGTGACATTATAATGACAATGCCACAGATGAATTCATGGTTTGAAGAAACTGCGGAAAGAGGTAAGCTCTTGCTGTCTTCCTCAGGAATTCTCACTTCCCGCTTGCATGCATTGAACTGCAGTAAGTTCTCACCCCTGTGTCTCCATTCTCTCTAACCTCTCCACTTTCTCTAAGGTTTTCTAAAGTTCAAAGCCCAGGGATTCTGATGTGTCTAACACAAGAACATTTGCAGTAGGCATAACAAAAGCTCAGGAAAATGATAACTATTAAGTGGAATGGGCAAAACTTACATACCTTTTCTACAGTACCTATGACTCCTGTTAGTACCATTCCAGTGAATGGAATGGAAACATTTTAATTGCTGAGAAAGTTCCTAAGATTCTCCAAAATTATGGAAAAGTTTTTCAGAATCCAGTTTAAATGATGCTTTATGGAATACTTTAAGGATTACCTACAACATTTTTTAAGGGTAAGGATTCTTTTCTGTTTTTTAATGACATACATAAGGACCATTTCCCACTTGCTGTTGCAGAAAATGATTTTTTTCCTCGCCTTACTTTCTCACTGGAAAAAATCATATTTGTCTACCTGAGTTTATACATGACTTTATGGGAAAGATGCATTTACTTGTGGAAGTATTAAAGTAAAAAACCCCCAAACAACCAACCCACAATTAAGAAGGGAAAAGATCTATTAACCCCTGTTATGTTTTTCTGTCTTTTTTAAATTCATGACAAGAAGCACATTTTTGTAAAAGGCATCTCCTTTCTCTTTCAGCTAACAGTTCTGTATTCATTTGTATTGTTTCTTGCTAAAAATAAAAAAAAAAAAAAAAAGAAAATGAAGCAACAAAAACTTTCACCAAACGTTTGCAATGTCTGTATTTCCCTTCATTCTTCTCAAAACCCATAATAATAATAATACCACACTTTCCCTCTTTTTCCTTAGGACAGCTGATATCTATTAGCCACCCAGGACACGAAAAAATACTGACTTCTGGGAGCAGATTTTTCTCCAAACTTTTCCAAATTTTTCTCTTTTACTGACATCCCCACCCCTACCTGTTATAGGCACAGTGCACACTTAGAAAAGACATCCCAATTTGTACAGAGACAGTAGTATTATAGTAATTGCTCTGAAAACTCAGCATGTAGCTGCTCTGATCTCTTGCATATAAATATGAAAACATATACTTGCTATGGAAAATGAACAGTGATAGAAGAACACACAGCTGCCAGCAGGAACTTGGAAGAAGGGCAGCAGCTTTTTGATTTCATTTCCTTGCTCTATGAAAATGACTAGCGCAAGCAAAGAGGTAAATGAGTTGAATCAGTACTACAGACTTGCCTCTGCAGGCAGAAAGGAACATTCTGGTACTGGGGAATGGTTCACTGCAGGCAGCTGGGCAGAACTCACAGCATGGCCTGGGGTGGTGTAAAAGGAGAATAACCAATGGCTCCATGGAGCTCCCTGAGACACCTTCGTTCCCAGAGAACAAAAACGGCTAGCTCCTGAGCGCTAAGTGGAAACAGGCTCGGCTGACTGGCTTTTCAATCATGCCAAATCCCAGAGCTGTGACATGCAAGGAACAGAATCAAGGTTACAGATATAAGCAGCAGTAAATCTTTTAACACCCTGGGCAGTTGTTGTTTCCTACTTGCTCTAACTTGCCTCTCAAGCAGGCCTCCACCTGAATTGACCACTTAACAGCACCACAGGTTTCAAGCTTAGGCAGACCTACCTAGAAGCACTGAATTAGATAGTTGTAATTTGTGGCTCCTTCTCTTTATCAGAGCAGCTGGAAACACAACAGGCTAATGACAGACACAACACCATTTTCTAAAATGGAGCTGAGGATGGGATGTGGGGATTGCAGTCATGACTTAGAGGTAATCACTGCTTGCAACAGAGATGCATGCACTTCAGCACTGACGAAGACCGAGTGCCAACAGTTCACTCACAGACAGTCCACTTCTCCTGGTGCCCAGCGAGGAGTTGCCCAGGCAGCCAAGAAGCAGCACATACTAACAGCTGTGCACTCAACAGTCAGGGCTGGACTGGGCTATCAAGATCCTCATCATCATCTGAATCATAGAAGATCAAGGAAACAAATATACTTCCCTCCAGATCACTAACCTTCCTGATTTGGTATGGCAGTAAGCATGCACCTTCCTTCTCTTGCTGTTTAAGTGATACATAACAAGGACTGGACCTGCTCTGCAAGCCCTTTCTGGATGGCTCACATTCTAACAGGGGACACCCTCTTGTGCAATTATCACCTATAAACTTGACCTTCTTGACATTTCTGGCAATTCAGTCTGAGCACAAAAACCATCTCCCTCCTTCAAATCAGAGTAGAAATAAATGTCAAGAGGTATTAGTTAATTAGCATGACCTCAGAGCTCTTCCTATAGAAACGAAAACACAGATTTGCTCAAGCAAGTAGTCAACCCTTCTCTTTCTCATTAGCTCAGGCCTCTTCATATCAGGTCTGAATTAATCAAGGGGCAAAGTCTATTCAGCTGGCACCATTTTACCAGAGAAGATGCCAGCTGGCATTATTGCTTCCTCTCAATGGTTATGCCAACTCAGAACACTTTTTTACAGACAACTACACATCACTACCACTAGTAGAGGTGGAACTAGCACTGCAGTAACTGTAAGGCTACCCTTTCCCAAGGCTATCACAACAGCAGGGACTGATTACCGGTTAGCATTTGTAACTATAAACCCCTCCTTCTCTGGTAAACTCTCTTTGCATACTCCTGAGTCTAAGGGTCTTTCAGACTTGGATGACAGTAGCATAAACTGGAGGTAGAAATCAGACACATTAAATTTAAAGTTATTGTTTCTTTATTCTTTAAATAGAATTACTCCAGATGTCACAGAGCTACAACAATACAAGTGTTTGCACAACACTTCTTGAGAAGTACATTTTCCTCCCCAGCTTACTACAATTTAGTGGCTAATCTCACCCTTTTTTAAGGCTGTTCAAGGAGGGAATGGATGAGGGAATGGCGAACTCAGGGGACTTGTGTGATATAGTAAAGGATATCCATCATACCTTAAGCTTGGCTTGGATCTCTCTAGCTTTCCGTCTTGCCAGGACCTGGATGTGACTAGATACCTGCATTGAAAGACAAAACCCATCTTCATTCCAGGAATACTTGATAACTGCTTGCAGAAATAAACATACTTTAGGCACCTTGTGCAATACAAAGTTATTTAGGGTTGGGGGTAAGGGGGTAAGAATAAGTTGTGTTCAGAAAAGCATCTCAAGTGCCATGAAATGAGGCGAGGGACCAGCAAATATAAGCCATTTAAGTCCTTTTCCAATTTAAACAGCTTTATCAAGACAGAGACCTCCTCTAAAACTAAAGAACCCATCCTTAAATCTAGGGATTGCAAATTCTGATCTCTTTGCTCCCATCTTGGCCTCCTCCTGGGAGAAGGGAAACCCATGTTCCATATCCCTGGCTGCTATATAATGAGTCTCAGAACTTCTCCATATCTAATGTGGGCTGAAACACATCAAAATAATTTAGATTGGAAGGAACTTCTGGATGTCATCCACGAACCCCCTACCCAAAGCAGGTCTAGGTTGCTCAGTGCTTTCTCCAGCATAGCCTGGACTGTCCTTCCCAAATTACAAAGATTCCTTTTTCATGCCATGCGCCAGGTATTTTCAAAGTCACCATTGCTGTCCATCTGTCTGGTATGAACAAAGAATCTTCATATAGAGGACCACCGATGTTCACCGAAACGTTCATTAGTAGACCAAACAAACAAAATCACACACCGTTTTAACAGTAGAAAAAACTCTGTGTCATGATGTGGTTGGGAGACATGAGCATTACAATCCTACTGTAAAATGCCTGAGCTGACTCTTCCCACCATTAACGAGCTCAGCACAACCACCTCTTCACTAATAACAAGTGAACAGCAAGGGATTTATTTTCACAAGCACTCATCATGTCTAGTGGTCCAAAGAAGCTAATGTTTACAGGCAAAACTTTACACTTACCTGTTTCCTTGTGCGTGTTTTCCCTGTTCTCAGCTTAATATAGCGGGCAATCAGCTCATTTCGGCCTGGAACAGAGAAATAATGCAAATAGCGGTTTAGAAAGCTATCACCCCAGGGAAAATATGCACAATGGAATTATTACCTATAGAGATCAACAGTGGGATGATACTCTATCACACTATTTTCTCTTAGAAAGGTATTCATTAGTTCACATGGTAGAGGTCTGAGTTTTAGGAGCAGAACTTTGGGCTTCTAATTCTTTTCCCCAGCTTGCATCTGTATAGCTTAAAATTACCCATAAAAAGGAGAATCATATGCTTTGCTTAATAATTACATTACCGTAGCATGTAGAAGCTGTAAGCATGGATCAAGATTGCCAGTACAAAGAAGAAAAGGGAATCCCACTTGCACTAAAACACTCAGAAAGGCAAGAAGGAAGATCCAGAAAACAACAGGCCAGTCAGCCTCACCTCAGTCCCTGGGAGGTGATAGAGCATGTAATCCTGGAAACCATTTCCAGATACATAAAGGACAAGAAAGTGACTGGAAGTAGTGCACATGAATTTACAAATGGGAAATCATACTTAATGAATCTGATAGTTTCTACAGTGAGGTGACTATCTTGGTGGGTGAGTACAGAGCTGTATATATTGTGACTCTTAGTAAGGCCTTTGACACTGTCTCCCATAGCATCCTCATAGGAAACCTGCAAAGTATGGGTTAGATAAGCAGACAAGGAGGTGGACTTTCTGAATGGATGGAGTTTTCACTGGCTGAATGGATGGTGCCAGAAGTCTTTAATCAGTGACACAAAGTCCAGTTAGAGGCAAGTCCCTAGTGGTGTACTGGGGTAAATACTGTTCAACATCTTCATTAATGACCTGAACACAGTGCACCCTCAGCAAGTTCACAGACAATACAAAACTGTAAAAAGGCTGATTCTGAATGGCAGCATAGCCATCTGGTGTAAGACCTTGACTGGAGAAATGGGCCGACAGGAATCTCATGAAGTTCCACAAAGGATAACGCAAAGTTCTGCACTTGGGAAAAATAACCCCCAACACTAGTATATGCTGGGGGCTGACCATGTGGAAAGCAGCTTTGCAGAAAAGGACTTGTGGGTCCTGGTTGACAATAAGCCAGCAATGTACCCTCATGGCAAAGGTGGCCAGCAGCATCCCAGGCTGCATTAGGAGGATTTTTGCCAACAGGTCAAGGGATGTGATCCTTCATCTCTACTCAGCACTGCTGAGGCAACATCTGAAGTACTGTATCCAGTTCTGGACTCCTTGGCACAAGAAAGATGGGGATATAATGGAGTGAGGAAAGCAAAAGGTCCACAAAAATGATTAAGGAACTGGAGAATCTTTCATATGAGGAGAGGCAGAGAGAGCTGGGACTGTTCAGCCTGGAAAAGACTCAAGGAGTTTTATCAATGCATATAAATACCTGACAGGAGGCAATGAAGAAGAAGGAGCCAGCGTCCTCTCATTAGTGCCCAGTGAGAGGACAAGGAACAATAGGCACAAACTAAAACACGTGAAATTCCATCTGAATAGAGAAGACAAAACAAAGAAAGAGGAGACAAGTTTTTACTGTAAGGGTGGTCAAACACTGGCTCAAGCTACTCAGAGAGGTTGCAGAGTCTCCATCCTTGGAGATACTCAAAACCTGACTGGACACAATCCTGGGCAACCTGCTGTAGCTGACCCTGCTTGAGCAGTAAGGCCAGACTAGAAAAACCTGACACGATCCCTTCCAACCTACATGAGTCTGTCATTCTGTGAATCCAAGTACAAGTAAACAACAATGGGGAAGTACGTCAAAATCGTTACACAAAATTTATCAGTGTGACATGATACAGTGAATTAAAAGTGCCTTCAGGCATCCCAAAAAGGAGCATTCTTCAGAAGAGATACAGAGAAGGAAGCTTAGCTTTGTGGAAGGTTATGGGGATCTCCCATAAACAGGAAGGTGGGGCACTGACTGGGAGATGTGAAGGAATCCTTGTCAGATTATAGAACAAGCACACATTGCAGGCTGATGACAGTTAGGTTTTACACCTTGATTGTATGAGATGACACGGTCAGGTTATGCCCTTCAAGGTCAAAGGAAATGAAGACAAGTAGCTTTATATTCAATGGGAGAGGCCACTGCAGAGATGAAAAAAAAGAAATGGTCATGGTGATAGATGAGGTAAATGTATTAACAGCACCATGAATGAAATGGCAAGAAAACATGAAGCTACAGGGTCACTGGTACAGAATTTGAAATTGCTTGGGATGAGAGCAGGAAGTTGCAGAAGACTCAAGTCCAGGATTTAAAAATCAGGAAGAGAAGCAGAGAAGGCTGAGCTACTGACAACTTCAGCACCCGATTCACAGCTAGCACCACGGAACTGTTTGAGAGTGGACACCAAGACACTTGCAGACTATGCAAGTTCCATAAACTGGCTCCATGTATCAAATCTAAGTAGACACACAGATTTTATTCCTCCATCTCCAGGAAGAGAATAAAGAGCACAAACATAAAAGCAGCAACTACACATCTGAACTCTAGGCTGATTCAAGGCAGAAAACATGACAAAAAGACAAAGCTCCGCAAAATAATACATTTGTGGTAACCACACTAGTAGCCATTCAGTATCTCAATGAAAAGTTGGGAGTGGAAAGTGCAAGGCTGTGAGACATTTTATAGGACTGCAAGTGTTTGAGGAATGAATCAAAAAAACTGGGAAGCAAAGCCAAGCTCTTGTAAAGTTTATTCATAACAAAATTATAAAAACCCAGTATTTTCTATGGAAAGTTTATGGGCTGAATGGATAACTTGTACATTAGGATATCACAGACATCAACCAAGCAAGCAATGAAAAGAGATGCAATATTTATTGCAGTAAAAAAAAGAAAAAGTTGCTGGTTTTATTTTAAACTCTTGTTTAACTCAACCCTGAAAAAAAATGAATTTTTCATCCATAGCAAGGAAGGACTCTGTGCTACAGATTGACCACTCAACCCTTAAGAAGGACTGGCAAAGCTCCTAATTCCACTGGTTTCTGAAACAGAAGAATGTAAATGTCCATGACTACATTTAGGCCATGTTCATGAAACATAATCAAAGAACACACAGGGATGGGAAAGCACTTTACATTTACAGATCTTAATCTTTTCCTAATGGTGTCATTACAGAAGCTCTCCTTACTCCCCTGGGAGAAGAATCGGGTCTGTAACTGAGAAAACAGCTCCAGCTCCTCTATATACAAGTTAGGAACTATTTCTGTGCCAGAAACACAATGCCCAGCATGTAACCACTGACCTCTTCAGTTCTCACAGTTTTGGCATAGCATGGTGACATACCCAGGAGAGTTTGATGGGAGCAGATGCTGTTATGCTACCTTCCACCTGGCTGCTTTTCCAACCAATGTAACCATTTATTACAAAGCCGAGACCAATTACTAGCGACACATACCCGCACCACCTTTTTCTAGTGCCAAGAATAATATTCATGGCTTTTCAAAGCCTCCATCTGTTGGACATGGATCCAAGTTGAAAGGTAAGAAACAACAGAAGTGATTCTTCTCACACAGATGCCAGCATATACAAAATTTCAGGAGGACAGTTTGACACGTCAGAAGTGGGAAACGTGCAGAAAAAAACAAGGTGCTCCAACCCCACTATCTATAAACAAACAAGAAGGAAAATTTATATACACCAAGAGGACCCTTTGAAGGGCAAGGGGAATGAGTTAATGGAAGACAGAGGAAAAACTAGCCTTGAGAAAAAGCAGACGTGGAGAATTTCAGGCAAACTTTTAAAAGGCGCATATTGGGCTATACTGACAAATTTGAACACATGGAAACTCTCCAGACATTGGCTTAAACATGGATCATCCTTACAAAACTGATTTTAATGGATTCTCAACCAGAAACAATAAATGTTATGGAGCAAATATAGTCTTGCTGTGTTTCAATAAAAGTAATTATACAGACTGAGCAGTCTAATAACAGAGCACTATTCTGCTTCAGCAGTAGAGGTCTGCAGGAGGAATCTGTGTGAGAGGATGCCATGAACAGCCCTGTGCCAGTCACAGTCAATTCCAGCCACCTCCAAAATCGATGAAAACAACAATCCATCGAAACCTCAACCAGTCAGAGGAGCACAAGCTACCTTTGCTCAAACATATTTTGGAAAGGGCAATAGCCCCTTAGGGGCAGAAGAGACACACAAAAGGAACCACAAAAGAAAGACATGTGAGGATACACAGAAGGAGCAATGCAAGATATGTAAAAAGACACACTTGGAGAAAAAGAAGGAGAAAATGTGGTAGGGGACACTGTTGGGGATGTGGCTGGAAAAATACTCTTGGAAAGAAGTGCTCCATGACAGAAAGAGTACATTTTGATGCAACTGCAGCCCACAGAGGACCCACGCCAGAGTAGGTACAACCCTGAAAGGACTACAGCCCACGAAGAACACATGTAGGAGCAGAGGAGTAGAAAGAAGCAAGGAGCACCGGGAGGGGGGGCGGCAGGGCATAGCAAGGACTGGCAGAAAGAAACCTTTACACAGTGACCCCAACCTCCTGCACCACCCACCACCTCTCCAAAGGAATTAGAAGGGACTGAGTGTAATATAGAATAAAACAAGGGAAACCGAGTCTAGGAAGCAAGGAAGAAAGACAATAAACTTAAGTTGAGCCTAGGGAAATGGAAGGTGTTTCCCTAACTGTGTGTTTAACTGTTTGTCTTTGACAACATCAGTAAAAATTGCAAAGCACTCTCAGGCCCTGTACTTCACTGGAGAAGACTAGGGGGAGGGGAAACCATTGTTCAAAGTGCACATTTTAGAAGCTGGTATAGAAATCTGCTAGAGAAAGAGCATTTGAATGTGGATCTTCAAAACTTCCAGTTTTAGAATTCACTTCCCACTTGCCACTACCTTTCATACAGCCTTTCTCTTCCAGAAGTGTGTCCCCCCAGAACCAGAAAAAAACCAGAAAGGTGGCAGGATATATTAAGCTAATAAAGATACTGGTAGCAAGAACACCCAGATTACCCTACAAAGACATT